CAAAAAAAAAAAAAAAAAAAAAAGCTAACTATGCTTCTCATGGCAAATAGTAACCAATTGGTTGGATAAGATATTGCTTTACCCTGTTTTAAATGTTACTTCATTTCTGGAACAATATGAAAACCAGGTGATAATCACATTATTTCTGAGGCAGGAAATTGCTAGGCCAGCAGCAGGACTGGAGGGGAAAATTTCTTTTTCTTGTGAACTGTGTACTGTTTGAATTTTATTCTAAATCTGTTTATTCAAAATAGTAGACATTAAGTTTTTTTTTTTTTTTTTTTTTTTGTAACAAAAGCCACATTCAAACATTAAAAATTTTTAGTGCTTAATCGAATATCTTCATTTGTAAATCCCACTCTGATCCCTGGGTAGAGAATGAGAAAATGGTATAGTTTTTGGCCCTGTAGCTCAGAAAAAAAAAGGCCAGTATTAGCTGTCAGTCATCCTAGTACTGAAAGTGGGCCTGGCATCTCTATGCCCATGGAATAGTTAAGGCCCCTAGAGTCACATTAATATTTTTTTTCATTTTTAGTGGACATGCCTACCATGTGCCCGGCATTTCAGTAGACATTTAACAAGCGTTAGCTCCTTTATCCCTCATTAACACTTAAGGAGTTGTATATTATTATTTCCGTCTTACAAATCAGGAAATTGAAGCTCAGAAAGGTTAATAAATTCCCTATGTAGCTGCAGAGCTAGGAAGAGGGAGCCAGATTTTGATATTGCACCTGACTCTAACACAACAGGTGTTGGCATTCCCCCACTTTTCTGGCTTTTCACCTGGTCTCTGCTTTCCCACATATTCCTGGCACCAATTTTGCAGTACTATTGCTGACTTACTTCAGGGTCCTGGGATATTACTTATCTGGGTCCCAGAGACTCAAATGCATCCAGAGTGGTTGGGTTCTCTCCCACCACCTCTTCAGTTCCTTTGGGAACATTGACTGTGACTTCTCATTTGAAGACCCTTTGCCCAGCCAAAGAATGGGTGCCAGGTGGGGACTGTCCTGTTGTTATCTTTTTGGTCCGCACGATGCCTTTGCGCCTCAACCAATAGGCTTGTACTTATTCTTGCTTAGACATAATATAAAAGTGTTTAAATATTAAATCTTTAGCTAATTGTGTTTAGCTATCCTTAGAAGTGGCAGCAGCATATATAAGCTTAATTTGGGTGATGCTTTAACAGGTTTGCTTGCAGGGTAGAGGAGTCCCTTGCACCATGAGACCATCTAGAAGCTTGAACGCAGGGGCAACATCCAGTGTGGGAGGAGGGGAAAGGAAGTCCCCCAGATCGTAGAGGAAGCTCATCTTTCTTGGCGATGTTGCTGAGCATCACACAGGGGGTCTCTGGGTCAGAGGCCTGTGAAGAGCCTTAGTGGCTTGAGGTCTTCATAGCCACAGGGCTTATTCTGTCTATGGTTAGAAAATGCCAACAGTTTTGAAGGGTGTTGTTTTGAAGGTTTGCAAAGTAGGCAGGGTCTAAATGGCAAAAAATGAATCTGATTATTTAGGCTATGTATAAAACATTTTGATATGTAAAAATTTGAGTTTGTGCTGGTCAGCTTTTGAGCCAATGGGTGTCAGTCTTCTGTGAAGAAGTCTACAACATAGGAGCCATCTTTAGCTCACTTATATAACACAACGATCTTATTCTTACCCACCGAGTCATACTGTTTAGTACAGACTCAAGGAGACATGAGGTAGGACTTGTGCTGTACCTCAAAGAGCAGAAGATGCATACTTACATAGCAGAGCTCATGTAAAAGAGAGTGGAAGAACAAGGTCATGCAGCTGATTAGTGGCAAAGATGGGACTAGACATCAGCATTCCTGACACCTGTTGCTTTAAAGGGTGACTTAGCAATAGCTCTTTATAGTTGGCCTGTAAACCCCTGGCATTTAGGTTGTGTTACTTAAGCAGACCATTGTTGTGATCCATGTGGCAGCTTCAGATTGTAAATGAGTCTTGTGAGAGGGCTAGCTGAAATGGCTAATTGGTGGCTAGAATGGCAACACTGGGCAAGTTAGTGTCGGGGGCAAGCCTTGAAATGAGAAACCAGGTTACCTAGGGCCAGACCTCATAATGTCCTATGGATCTTGGACAAATTATTCAGTGTCTGCTTCCTCAGTAGTAAAGGGAAGTTAACAGTGTGTGCCCTGTCTCTACTTCATAGTTTGGTTATAAAGTGTAAAAGAAAGGTGAGATGTATATGAAGTTTTATACTTTAACATATGAGGAATAATTCACAAAAGCCAACATTGTCATTGTTTGGCAGAATAAAAGGTTCTTTTAGCTGTTGGTGTCAGTATGTTCTTGTTTTGGAGTTAGTCCTTTTTTTTTTTTAGAAGAATCCAATTTCTTGTCTTCGGTTATTGACTCTGTCAGTTGTAACTAAGGACAATAGAAGTTAAGCTCAAGCTGTAATAGGAGAGCTCAGTGGAAGCTAAACCAGGCACAGTAATCAACGCCACATAGTTTGATTATATTTTGCATCTCTCTGTAAGTCTGTTTTATGTTATTTAGAGGTTCCTCTTCATGTAGACACCAGCAGTAAACTGGGGAATATTTGCGGCAGGAATTTTTAAGAACCCTTTAGCATCATCTCAGGCCCTGTTCTATTTCCTTTTCCACAAAATCATTTGAGATTATATAGTGTGTGTTACAGAAAGAATGTTTTTCTGTATGCTTGAAACTATATATTAAAGTAAAATAGTAATAAAGTTAACCAGAATTATCCATGGGGAACATCCAATTAAAATAAAATGCCACTATCTGGAAAAGCCTGATAGTAATGCTTTTTGTGGTGATGTCCAGGTAATGATTAGATGCAATAAACCTGGCTAATAGGGAAGAAGAGATGTGGGGATGAGCAGCCCGAATACCTTGCTGGCATAGCAGCTGCCTCCCTGCATCAAGAGCCCTGAGTAGATACTACTAGGGTACTATTTGACAGCTGGCTTAGCAGTCAAGAAGGACATTTCATTCGGGGTAGAATGACAAACCACTTCATCTGGGGCTGAAGACCTGCATTTATTGATCACTTACTACATGCCACATATATTGTTTAGGATATAGATGTGTGCATGTATATAAGTTTAGAATATAACTCATGGTAAGTTGATGGATATTTGCTTCTATATTTGTAACTAAATCACACTGTAATAATTTAAAGTCAGTGAAAGTTTCCAGTACGTTTTGTTATCATAAATTCTCTTGAGGATAAACCCCCACACACTTTTGTTAAAAAGCTATGTATCTCTGAAGGGTTTGTATCCACTCTTCTTTTCTGCTATTAAAGCTAAAAGAATTGAAATCTTCTTTGCCATTTAAGGTGTTTTGTTGTTGTTGTTGTTGTTGTTTGTGCGGGGTGGGATTCTGGGTTAACATCTGTGATTGGTGAACTGGTTTCTGGCTCTGGGTGGTGGAAAGGTCTGGATGGGTAGTAACTATAAAAAGCTTGTATTTTTTCTGGAAAACTTTATTAAAGAATAAGAAACACTTCAGTACAGTAGCAAACCCTGCTTCTCAAGGCAAGACTCAATATTATAAAGATGTCAGTTCTTCCCCAAGTATTCTACAGGTGTGGTATGATTCTAATGAAAACCCAACAGAGATTTCTGTAACAAACTTGATGAACTGACACTAGAATTCATTTGAAGAGAAAATGAGTAAGAATAGCTAGGAGATTTGGAAAAAGAACAGTGGAGACAAGGTGGAGAAACATAAAGCAGAAGGAATTGAAGAGGGGAATAAACTCTTAGATTCTTACTATTCACTGTATTAAAAAGTCCAAATGGATTAAAAGGCTAAATGTAATCTGTAGGCCAAATATAACTATAAAAGTAACATCTGAGAATTTTTATGTAATCTCTGGGATAAGAAGTATGATAAAAATCTTGAACTATAATAAGTGATAAATTTGGCTACATAAAAAATTAGAATGTCATGGGACCAAAAAGCACCAAGTTGAAACAGAATTGGCAATAAATTGGATAAAAGTTATTTGCTACCTAAGTAAAAGTCAAAGGACCAATACTGAGTAGATGAAAGTTATTTGCTACCTAATTAAAAGTCAAAGTATTAGTACTCAGATCATATAACATGTTTACAAATCAGTTTAAAAAAATGACAGTTTAGGAAAATGAAAGATTTGAACAAGATAAGTGGCAAATAAGCAAGATTTCCAGCCTCGCTAATAATTTGGGGAAGGCTAATCAAAGCAGTGAAATATTTTTCACCCATGTGTCAAGAAGGCTTGCAAATATTTTTTGTTGCCAAAGGTGTGATTAACAAATTGGTGGGCACCTGAATCAGTACAGATTGTCTTTTGGCTCAACTTGGTAGCATAAACACCCATCAAACTAGTGATTTCACTTGTCCTAACAATCTACTTATACAAGTATAAATATTGTTTTTAATAAGAGCTTGGAAATAACCTAAATGTACCTCCATGAAAGTTAAATAAACTAGGAAACATCTATATTAAGAAATAGTACATCAGCTAGGCATAGTGGCTCACGCCCTGTAATCCCAGCAGTTTGGGAGGCTGAGACAGGCAGATCACCTGAGGTCAGGAGTTTGAGAACAACCTGGCCAACATGGTGAAACTCCGTCTCTACTAAAAATACAAAAATTTGCGGTGGCTCAAGCCTGTAATCCCAGCACTTTGGGAGGCCGAGGCGGGTGGATCACGAGGTCAAGAGATCGAGACCATCCTGGTCAACACGGTGAAACCCCGTCTCTACTAAAAATACAAAACATTAGCTGGGCATGGTGGCGCGTGCCTGTAATCCCAGCTACTCAGGAAGCTGAGGCAGGAGAATTGCCTGAACCCAGGAGGCGGAGGTTGCAGTGAGCCGAGATTGCGCCATTGCACTCCAGCCTGGGTAACGAGCGAAACTCCGTCCCAAAAAAAAAAAAAAAATACAAAAATTAGCTGGCCGTGGTGGTGCATGTGTGTAATCCCAGCCACTTGGGAGGTTGAGGCAGGAGAATTGCTGGAACCCAAGAGGTGGAAGTTGCAGTGACCCCTTGGCACTCTAGCTTGAGTGATAGAGCAAGACTGCATCTCAAAAAAAAAAAGGAAAGAAAAAAAGAAAGAAAAGAAATAGCACATCTAGTTAAAAAGAAAGAAGTAGGCTCCTTGAAGGCAGCCACCCGGAGTGCCTTCTGTACTCCTGTAGCAGGGCTGTGGACATCCAGGCTATGCTGGGGAAAGAGCCCACTTCTACTTACTGGCTGGAGGCATCCAGCAGCCAATTCAGAGGAGAGCCTTCTCACACTCAGTAACTTGGCTGTCTTATCCACAGGAAGTGTACAAGCCCCGTCGGAAATACAAACGCCACCAGGGAGCAGAGGAGCTGCTTGATGAAGAATCTCGAATCCATGCTACGCTTTTGGAATATGGCAGGTAATGAGTGGGACCCAGTCTAGGTGTCTTTTTTATAAAACCATTTAAAAGAAAAGCTAATTTAACTTGCTTCATTTGGATTAACTTGATTGGCTTCTACCTGATTGAGTTTCTACTTTCAACCATGAGATTTCCAATATCAGGGACTTTTCTCTGGTAATGAATTACCTGTTTCTATGGGTATCCTTTGTAATTCTTCTCTAGGAATATGCACCTGGCTCTGCCCTCCTTTGGGAGTTGGGGTGTTCCAGGCATTTGCAGAGGCTAGGATAGTCTGTTCTTCATGCCCCTGCTGTTTATTAAAACCTTCAGGTAAATGAATGCAATGAAAGCAGTTTCACTGATTACACTGTAAGTGTTAGAATAATAATTTTGGTTTCCTGTGAATGTTATCCTAACTAGGAAAACGAAGACTTTAGAAGTAGTTTTATCACTTCTTAAAAACATCTCTAGTTAAAAAAAAAAAAATCTTATTTCCTTAGTCTTTACTTAAAAAAAATGTAAGGACATGCTTTTCCCCATTGAATTTTTTGGTTGGCACTGGGTATTAACCTTCTTTTGTGTCGTTGTGCATTCTCTTTCTAGGGTAACTGATACCTTGATGTGAGTAAGTCTCCTTGTGCTTCCTTCCTTTGTGTTGGGAGAGGCTCCGTTTGCTGCTCTGCCTCACAGCCCAACCCTTGTGGAGTGGCTGGAACTAACTGCACTGCCACCGGCATTTCCATTTCCCTAAGTGAGCATCTGATAGCTTTGCGTGCTCTCTAGGGTACTGGAGAGAACCATCGAGAAATTAGGCTTAATTAATCTAGTTTCCAAATGGAAGTGCATGCAATTGTTTTTGTTTGTTTTTTATTTTTTTCTTCCTAAGAATAAAAACTTGTCTCTTTCAAAGGCAGTTGAAGTAGTTCTGGCCTTAGACTGCGTGTGATGGCTGTCCCCAGATTTCACTAGTTACTGCTGTGAATTGAATGCCTCCTCGAAGTCAGGCATCACCAGGACTAGCTATGTGATGAAAATGCAGAGTACCTTGTTAGCAGTTATTAATGATAATTATTAAGAATTTAAAGACAGCACCAACAGCCAAGTGCAGTACCCTTCTAAGCATGGGGCACTGTGCTAGTGGATGGCTTATGTGCTCAGGAAGCCAGCCCCAGGAATCACGAGAGTCTCTCTAGCCATGCCCAGCTGCAGGTGGGCAAGTGAGGCTTTAACTTGCTGATTTAGCCTCCCTGCCTGTCCTCAGGAGTGATTGATGCAGTTTGAGCTGAGAGTCTGGCTTGGCTCTCTTTAGGAAAGGAAGCAAGACAAGTCTTGCTTGACTCTTCTCAAATTCTGAGAGTAAGAAAGAGCAGTGTCTTGATACCAATTTTGGCTCCTATTGGTACGGTCATGCTGACTTCTGCTAATTTCTAAGGCTACGGTAGGCATTTTCCTGAAGGTTTTAGGTTTGGGGTTTTGGGGGACAGGAGAGAGATGTTATTTTGTTTCTTTTTAGCTTTTTTGGCAAGGAGAGGGTAAGTTTGTGGTAGGTGGGGTAGTGAATACTTAGGACATTCTGATAGTATATTTAGCTCATTCTCTTCTTTGAGACTAATAATAACATTCAGAAAGTTTAAACGATGACTTGCTTAATTAAGGTAATAAACTATTAAGAGGCTCAATATATATGTACCAATATAAATGCGACTAGTGTGGCTCAGGAACAGAATTTTGATTTTAATTAAGTTAAATTTAAATTTAAAAATTTGTGCTTGATTCGGTTATTGGAAAATGTTTATCTTTGGAATAACCTGGGCATGTGAACCTACTAATCTAATTTTAAAAATTGTATGTGTGTCTTTACTTATATTTCTTTTGTACTGTGCTGTCCTAAATGTACATACATATATAATTTGAGCAGTTTGTTCAATGTAGAAAACACTCCAGTAAATGTTAACCACTAGCTGCTGTCATTATTCTCCTTATTATAATCATCGTTATTAGCAGCAACAGTTTTCAGTTTTTTTAATGCCGTCAGATGTGACCTTTTCCCCTTCCAGTTCTCCTTGTTCTTGTGTGTTTATGTATGAGTGCAGAGGGAAAGCTTACCCTTGGCCCTCTGAAGGTTCACTGAAAATGAACTGACAAAAGGTAGATTAACAGGAGAGAATGGCATACATAATTTATTATTGTGTGGGGGGAAAACCACAGAAGTGTGACTACCCAGTAACCCAGTGATGTCCAGATGCACGTATATCCTTCTTCAAAGGGGAAAAGCAGATAGGGAAATACGGCAATTTGAGGGGTAGTAAATGATGTTTAGGGGAAATGAATCAGACCATGGTTAATAAATTACTCTCTGGAAATTGAGTGGGATGGAAACAGACCATGGTTTGGGTTCTAGGTATCTTATGCAATTTTCAGTCTCTTGCTCTGTGGTAAATACTGAGATTTCAGGGAGTGGATGAGACACTTGTGTTTTCTTTAACGGGTCCTGTCTTTATACAGATAAGAGAAAAAAGCCTATTCTAACATCTGCTGAACTTCAAATACCTTTAATTCAAGTTATTCAGCATATTATAGTGCTATATTTTGGGGTGACAGCCCATGGACTCCTTGACTTATTACTCCTCACACTAACCCTCTCTCTAGCCACGAATATGGGAAGTCTCACCCTCTGGCCCTTTTCTTCCCTGCCCCCATCAAGCAAGGCTGGCCCTCTGCTGGCCCCATGACTCACTTTGCTCCATCCTCCCTTTCCCTTTAACATGGCAGCATTCCTGACTTCCTCACCCACCCCCCACTGCAGTATGGTATCACAGCTTTAGGAGTCCAGATCCCCCTGCCAGTGTTTCTGTTTTCTACCTTATCTTATCTCTTGTCAGGGGAAAAGTATTTTGACTTCTAGAGCAAGAAGGTCTGAAATCAGTGTTTCTTCTTTGGGGTTGAAGGTCACTAATCAGCCTTTCATCCACAGTGCCCTCTGGCTTTTAGGTCAGCATTCCATCTTCCTCCTATTTTGACTCTAAGTTGCTTATATAAAGGTGAATTATGAGCCTTGTCAACTACACTGAAGGCCTTAAGGACTGTTTATCTGTTAAGAACATGTTTGGGTATATTTTTCTAAGTGTTAATGGTGTGAGGAAAACAAGACTTATAGTTTTGATTTCGGATGTAAACAAAATTGCACACCTATAATATTTCAATTTGATTACGGGTTCGGTCAATTTTGAGAGGCTAACTTAAGCACCTAACCATGTTATGAGACTGCTACTGTGGGGAAATCCATTTTATGTGTTGTATATTCGACTTTTAAGAGGAGGTTTGGAGTACAGCCACCAGAGTGCTGGAGTTAGCCTATTCCTTAGTATTCATATATTGAGTTGCCTTGAAATCATTCTAGGCAGGTCAAAATTAGGCCTTGAATACTGAGTAGGCTAACTTCAGCATTCTGCATTAGTAAATAAAATATGGCATATCTCTCCCAACCTATTTGTGTCTCCTATGAAGGTAAAAGCCAATGGCATGCTCATAAAAGGTATTTAGTAAGTTCTTGTCAAATGAATAAGGAACAGAGTTCACAGTCCTTAGTATTTAGGGCTTTTTATGTCCTTATTTTGTTATGTATTCCAAATAGATAACTGTCTTAGTTTGGCACAAGGTAATTGTTCTTGAAAGTTAGTTTGTTTTCTGGAATTGTGGTGTCCAGTATGGTAGCCACTAACCATATGTGGCTATTGGGTAATTGAAATGCGACTAGTGTGGCTCAGGAACAGAATTTTGATTTTAATTAAGTAAAATTTAAAAATTCATGCTTGATTTAGTTATTGGAAAATGTTTGTCTTTGGAATAGCTTGGGCATGTGAACCTACTAACCTACTAATTTAAAAATTGTATGTATGTCCTTTCTTATATTTCTTTTGTACTGTGCTGTTCTAAATGTACATCCATGATTTAAAGACCAAGTCCTGGGTCTAAGCTATGAGGAAGTGAACTGGATGATGGGAGGAGCGCTTTGGTGCTGACAGTGTGGATAGCAAAAGTTGATGCATCAGAGCGAAAGAGGAAAGCAGGAGCGAATGGAAGCATGTGGCACTGCAGATCAGAGTGGCATTTGGGGGAAACGGGCAGAGCCAACAGGAAAAGAGGAAAGCGAGGCAGTAGTTAATAGGCAATTGAGGACAGAGCTTTGTCATGGAAACCTCACTACTGTGTGACATGGAGGAGGCCTTTAGAAAAATCATGTGGACTCTATTCATGCAGCAACCATTGATTGAGTGCCTACTATGTACCAGGTACTGAACTGCCAGGCAATGGCAATATTGAAGTGAATGAAGCTGTACATGAATGTTTATAGTAGCACTGTAAATATATTGCATAATATATTGCACAGTTATGAATTTAGCAATTCATAATTGCCAAAAAGTAGAAACAAACCACATGTCTATCAACTGATGAAACAAAATGTGATTTACCCATCTAATGGGATATTATTCAGCCATAAAATGGAATTAAGTCATGATTCATGCTTCAACCTGGATGAACTTTGAAAGTATTCTCATGAGTCATAGAAACTAGACACAAAGGCCACATATTGAGTGATTTCATTTCTGTGAAATCTCCAGAATTGGCAAATCCATAGAGACAGAAGGCAGATCAGTGGTAGCCAAGGGCTGGGAAAAGGGAAAAACTGGGATTAACTGCTAAGAGTGCCAGAGTTATTTTTGAGGTGATAGAACTTTTCTTGATTTCGACAGTAGTGATGGTTGCACAACATGAATACACTAAAATCTAGTGAGCAATACACTTTAAAATAGTGAATTTTATATTATATGAATTATAAGTCAGTTTTTAAAATATTTTTTAAAAGTGAATGAAGCAGATTTCTTCCTCTCCAGGAGCTCAACAGACGGGCTTAGAGGTTTACTCATGACAGATAATTATGTTCACCATGCAATGAGTGCACTGGCTGTGTAAACACAGAAGCTCACATCTGGGGGTCTAATGTAGTTTTGGTTACTTAGAAGAGTCTTCCCAGAGCCTCTGTCTTTAAGGAGGAGTAGATGGGTTCTGGGAATCAAGTCACTCAGATTTGGTTGTTTACTTCCTTATTTGGAAAATCCATGAAGTCCCTGGACTTTAGATAAGGGCCGTATGTCTTCTGCCTTGAAAGTCTCCACAGACTAAAGGCATAAAAAAGGCAGGATGAATACTTGAGATGCAAGGACACTTCTATAGGAGCGGGAAACTTTGGGAAGACCCTGTGTTGTTCAGGGTACCCTGGTTGAGAAAACGGAACCCTCCTAACTAATCAGTAGAAGGGATTAGTTACAGGGCTGGAAAACTAGGCTGAGCCAGGGTCAGCTCCCAAGCTTCACATTAGAACTGGAGCTCAGGACGCTGTTTCTGCCTCCAGGATCAGAGAGCTAGCTAGAAGCCACTGTTATAGCTGCTAGCCCCAGAACCTGGTTATTTCTACCATGATCCACACAACACAGTGGAACCTTTATATCTCCCTCTCTCCTCCTTTAACTGTTCCATATTCAGAACTCTAGCAAATGAATCTGATTGGTAGAACCTTAATAGTACTCAGAACCCTAGGTGCAAGGGAGTATGGAAAATAGTTTCTTTTCCAGCCTCTGCAGTACTGGAAGATGGAATAGATATTAAACCAGTCCACAGAATCTACCATAAGGTCCTTTACAGAAAAATTTAACCTTGGTCTGCTACACTTTGGACCTATAGGTTTATTTCTAAACGGTGGGGGTGCTGTGCCCAGCGGTGACTTTTTGGTCTCCCCAGTTATAGGACAATCTGTTGCAAGGTCAGATGATACTTTTGGCTTCTTGATTTTTGCACTTTTTCCACTTATGTTTAGTTGGGTTGTTCAGTGAATATTGGAAAAACCAGATGTAAAGGTAGAGTCATTGCTCTCAGGAGAATGATACAGATATGTAGTAGTTGCAGGTAATCACCATCTGGGAAGTGAGAGGAGCATGAACAGATGCAGGATGGGTAGGCCAGGCTGAGCACATGTGCATGGGGGATGCTTCACAGGGGAGGAGGCTTTAGAGTTGAGGGGTGAAGGGTGAGTGGAGAAGCAGTGGAGAGAAGGGAACAGTTTAGTATGTGCACAGCTCTCTGTTCAGGTAGTAAGTGTAATAGGAATGCAGAAGGTGCTGCTGGTGGGAGGTGAAACGGTTGTTAGGCTGGGCCACAGAAGAGAGGCCTTATGAGACTCCTGAGGATGTTCTGTTTTTTGATGAGGGAAGAGGCCTGCCATTGATAAAAGTGCATCAGGCCAGTGCAGAAGTTGGACAAGGAATGGGCAGAGAGAGTGTGGGAAGTGAAGCTGGAGGACCAAGACCCAGGTGAGAAGCCAGCACACGACACAGCAAGTGAGGCATGCAGAAGCTAGGCAGAGAGTGGCCTTTAATTTGTTCTTTATTTTTATTTATTTATTTAGAGACAGAGTCTAGCTCTGTCGCCCAGGCTGGAGTCCAGTGGAGCGATCTCGGCTCACTGCAACCTTCGCCTCCTGGGTTTGAGAGATTCTGGGGTTTCAGCATCCCAAATAACAGACTACAGGCATGTGCCACTATGCCTGGCTAGTTTTTGCATTTTTAGTAGAGATAGGGTTTTACCATGTTGGCCAGGCTGGTCTTGAACTCCTGACATCAGGTGATTGGCCTGACTCAGCCTCCTAAAATGCTGGGATTATACATGTGAGCCACTGCACTCGGCTCAATTTGTTCTTCTTAACTGTTTGCATTAACTTTATTTTCTTACAAATCACAAAGGTGTACAGGGCTAGGTGTTTTGCATTTTGCTTTTTGTTCGAGGTTGAATGGTTTTTGCACTGGTATACTTGCTTTTTTAAAAAAACATAGATTAATTAGAGCCAGGAAATAAACTCTTTTAAACTGAATTGTGCTTGTGTGTTTCTTTGAATTTAAAGTTGTATGAAGTGAGTACATATTATCGGCATCATGCTTGGATTATATTTGAGAATAAAAAGTGTGCTAGACTCTATGTTATGGAAGTAGCCATTAAAGAGCATGTTTGGCTTAAGCAAACATATTTACATTTGTTTGTATAGATATTTTTAAGGCTTTTAGCTTAAATTACGGCTCAGAAATGCTGTTCCTGATTCAAAAAGTCATGATTGCACTTAAGGAAAATGTTGTACTCTGTACTGTCTGAGACTAACAATTTACATTATAGTATTTGCATAGCAAGTAGGGTGGCTGGACCTTTATTCAAAAGACGGTGGACTATGTTTGTAATTTAGGCCTTGTAACATTTTCTCTAGTCACCAAATGGCATAAATTCTCTTGATGCTTTTCATGTAAAAAGTCAACCAAAATGCATTTGACTGAATTTATTATAATTTTTTGAGTAGTAATTCAACTCCTTTTTTGTGGCCTGCAGGAGATATGGATTTAGCCACCAGAGCAAAACAGAGAAGGTAAGAAAAGCATAGATAATGGGAGAGAATATTTGAGAGATGGAAGTGATTTCTCTCCCCTCTGACTGACACTCACAGGCTGGGCAGCAGCTCCCCGGGAATCCCAGGAAGGGAATGGCAGGGCTGCTGCTGCCCAAGCCCGGGTACCTGGACAGGCTGTGATGGCAGGGATGTGTGAGCTATCTTTGGCCCCTGCATCCCTGTCCTGGCTTTTCTAGCTTGCCACCTCTGCAGATTGGGGAGCAAAGCAGCAGTCTCATCCTGGGGCTGGAAATGAGGGGTGATAGAAAGTTGTGGCCCAGGGTCAGTCACGCGGAGTCTAGTAGCTCTACAGTATGAAGATGAAGTCCACTGCCAGGGCTCCCAGACCACTCCTTGTCTGAGGTGAGAGACTTTAGACAGTTGTCAGCAGGATGCTAGCAGTGAGGTAGGGCACAGCTGTGAATTACAGGCCCACCGTCTGCTGAAGCAGCCAGTCATCGAAGAGCCAGGTAAGTCAGGAGGGCTTTTCTAACTTCACAAAGGATGCCCAAAGATTTCTGTTAATTTATATGTTACTAATGATGCTTCATTGTCAACAGCAGGGCAGGTGCATAAATCTTATGGTGACAAACCCCTTCTGTGTTCTAGGCTCTATATTAAGGGTTCTGTATGTTTTCACTTACTCCCTTTAACAGCTCTATGAGGAGGATACTTATTTTTGCTTTTCAGGTCGGAAAGCTAATGCTCAGAGAAGCTCAGTCGTTTGTCCAAGGTCACACAGCTCTAAAGTGAATTAATAAGAATCTGAACCCAGAGGTCTATCTGACATAAGCGCCTGTGTTCATAGCCACTGCCTTCTAAATAATAAAGTGTCAGCTAAAGTGGTCAGTGGCCTCTTAAAAAGATCTATTATTAACCTCTTATTATTCTCCACCTGACCCCCAGATTTCTTGAATAGGACTCGTTCCCCCTGATGTTCCCCTGCCACCCACTCCACTGTATAGCTCCCCCAGGCTCCCCTTCTGCTTCCTGTGGTGATTGTTATCTCAGTCACTGCAGGCATCAGCAGTATGTTTTCTGGATTTGAGTATATCGTGTTGCATCTGGTATATAATAAGGGTTTGATGTGTACATTTAGTTTGATATGTAATTTGAGTCTGAAAAGATTGTCTTTATATATGACTGGGCAATTTGGTTATGATTGGAAAAATCATGAGATGTTCATGAAATAGTGTTCAAATTGTGCTTGTCCTGTCGTTCTTATGTCAGAGGACACATTTGAATTAGAAGTCTCATCCCCTGTGGATGTGCCCAAGCAGTTAGGAGCTCAGAGTGTTCCCATGGGCAGCTAGAGTTGGGATGGCCCAAGAAGGGCATCTGAGACCAAACCTCTCTTTTGACCCTAGAGATCCTTAACATGCAGGGATCAGAGGTCACCCAGCTGGTAGATTACAGAGATAGGATTAAAACCTGTAGCCCATGATTGAGGAGGAGCAGCTAATCCAGGGTGCCTTGAGTTTGATGTGGTTCATTTAGGGCCTGGGACTGAGTCCAGTGCATGCTGCTTGGTCATCAGATAAGGCAGTTTTCATCCTTCAGACCAGTGGTATTCTAACTGGATTACTCTAAGCAGTAAATGTGTCATTTTTCATCATGATTCAGTGTACACACACTAATACCCCCAAAACAAAAGTTTCACTATGTGGTACTTAACCCCTCACTACAAAGCACTTAACCCCTCACTACAAAGCACTCTGGCATGTTCTATTATGTTAATTTATACAGAGCTAGTCATACCTGCCAAATTACTTTTATGTCTCACTAATTGGTCTTAATGGGCAGTTTGAAGAAACTCCTTTAGTAGTGATCTGCTCTTGAAAGTGTTAAAGTAGTGAGAAGATCCAGTCAAAGTGCAAGGGTAAGTCAGGCAAACGTGTGTGGCCTGAATTTAATCAGTGAGCAGTTGGGACATGGAAATAGGCATTTGCCACTTCCTGAAGCTTAACCTGCCTGCTCTGTACTTGAGTGGATGTTCAGGCCTTTGGAGTATCCATTCTCTCGGGGTGGTGCTGCTCTGCAGATCTGTGTTTCTTTCAGACTCATGCCTCTTAACAGTATTGTCCTTTCTCTGCTGAGTCTCCAACTCCAGTGCTCAGCTGTTTTCACATCTTCCCTTGCAGGCTGAAGACAAGAAAACGGCACTTTCAGCAGGGCTGTCAGCTACAGAAAAAGGTGATGTCCACGAGGAAGATGAGCTTCGAGCAGCTGAAGAGGTGTGTGGTCCATGTAGGTCTGAGGTTTCTGTGTAAGTCATTTTGGGAGAAATTGTACTCTTATCCCTAGCTTTTCCAAATGGCCAGCACCTCCCACAGCGAACGGGCCTTTCACACGTTCGAGTTTCCTTTTGTCACCTGTCTTTGAGGCTCACATAAGACAAGATCAAGGAAGAAACCCTTGGATATCATATTGCTTCTGTCTTACCTGTTCAGAACCACTCACTGCTGCTCCCATCCATTTCTCTTTCAGCAGCGTATACAATCGCTGATGACCAAGATGACTGCCATGGCAAATGAGGAGGTGAGGGGGAGTGGGGGAGGTGTGGGGATGGGGACTTGGCACCACCTTGCTCTGCTGGGGGTCTTCTCCCAGAGAGCCCACTTTCTCCAGAGCCCTCCTTAAACCAGCATACCGTACCTCCTCTTCCCTGGGGAGTTCATTTTGGTAAACTGTTTTTAATGCCTAGTGCTGTCATCCATGGGAACCTCTAGGAGGGAGACTTGAAGGACCCCTGTGAAAGCTGAATATTCCTGCTGGGAGGTTCACAGGGCCTCTGCGGAAGAGGTGGGGCTGGCCCTGCCTCACCCTAACTACGAGTTACGCTTCATGCTGAGGCAGCTCTTGTCTTCTGCTTTCTTGTTACACTATTTAGGTAGGAAGTAAGATTTTGACATTATAGTTGGTCTTTCCAGATCTCAAAGCCTGTCCAGAAGGTATAGCCAAGGGCTTTGAAAGGATCATTTCTTTTGAGGCCTGGGAAGGGCCTATGGTAGTAAAGAGATATTTTAGAATTCTGAGATTCTTTGTCCTTTTCCATGCTCTTCTCTATTCCCTGTGTCCTAGGCCTGCCAAATCTCCTGCAGGCTCTGTTTGGTGACCCTCAGGAGGTGAGACCTTGGGGTGGGGCATAGAAGGGAAGAACCATTTTTCAGGGGTGCCCAGGGTCCGAGGAGAATCTAACACCATCAGTTCAGTGACTCAGGAGGTAGCTGCATGTTTGGCCTGAGGCTTCTTTTCACCCTTGCTGTCGGTAATACATGGCAAAGCCAAATTATTTTTTCCCCTAGGAATATTATCTGTTTTACCATAATAGAGTGTTCAGATTTTCCAGTGCTGTGGAAGACAAAGCTTGGTTTTGAGAACATTCCCTCCATTTGCTTGCAGAGCCGTCTCACTGCAAGCTCCGTGGGCCAGATCGTGGGACTCTGCTCTGCCGAGATCAAGCAGATTGTGTCCGAGTATGCGGAGAAGGTAGGTGGGAGCCCAGCTGGAGCCTGTGCCTGGGATAATGCTCCATGGCTTTGTTCTCCCGCTTCCCCACCCCTCTGCCCCAGCAGTGCTCTGTGTTCTCTTGTAACTCACCAGCCACATTTGTCAGAAACACACTGGGCTTTGCCATTCACAACCATCAGCACTTGTCTGTTAGTTAAATTAATTTTGTTCTGCAGTGTCCACTTTTCTGTAAATATAAAGAGAAAACCTGTCTCACAGAACAATTAACCACATTTGATAAATTCATGCCCGAGGGTATGGGATGAGCATTTTTCCTTCTCTATCAGACTTCTTATAACTTGGGCTCAGTTTGGTGATTGGGCTGAGGAATGAAGCTTTGCCTCTTAGGAGATAAACCTCATAACTCAGCCAAACCCAAGGCAAAATTTTTGTTCTACTTTATTAAAAGAGTATAGAATGAAGAAAAGCCTGAAATCATATTTCAGAGTTAACTTTTTTTTTCCATCCTAAGGAAAGGCAGGAGGACCTTGAATATTTCAGGGAGACGGTGATTAATCATTTTGCACATAACTGATTCTGGTCTGGCTGAGATGTAGTATCAGTAAAATCAGATTTACGGGACACTGTTGCACATCCCTCCTTCACCAGCCCTGTCCCCCTAAAATGTTGATGTCTGTTGAAGCATCCAGCTTGCTTTCTTTTTCTCGGAATCTTTTACTACAAATTAGCTCTGCCTTGACTCTTTGTGACATATTCTTCTGAAGTGATTGCACAGGTGATATGATCAGGGAAAAAGTGTCTCCAGTAATCTGGGGGTGTTATTGGCTACAACACACCCAAGACTTTTGGAAAACTGTTTTAAATGTGTAGTGCTGCCATGCATGGGAATCTCTGGGAGGGAGACTTGAAGGACCCTTGTGCAAGCAGAATATGAGTGAGTGAAACAGCTTGGAGTGTCTCCAGGTGAGATTCCTTTGTTTTCCCCACTCCCCCAAATAAGTGCTTGTTAACATGGGCTTTCTAATCCAACCCTCATAGAATCCAGAGTGTCTTCTCTTTTCATTTACCACCTAGGAAAGATGACACTGCTCAAAGTGTCATCTGAAATTTGACCAGAATAGGATTTTGTTATCCTAGAAGTACAAATGAAGATGTAATTGTGGAAAGAGTATTAATTCACTGTCTGAGAAGAAAGTGTCTTGGTTTCCTGTCAGCACACACACCTGAATGGCAAGAGTTTATACCTGCCCTTATGTTGCCACCAAGCATTGCTGAACCCAGTTTTTTAGGAAAAAACAAAAGACAACTGGATAGAGCAACCAATGCTGTTTCTATGGTGAGCATGTAGGAGCTCTGATGATTGTAAGAGGAAAAGCAGGCAGGCAGAGCCCCTGTGGTTGGCAGTGCATCTCTCTCTCTACCCCTTCCTCTGTCTAGGTCTCCTGAAGCTCACCTGCCTTCCCCAGTTACTCTGCATTTTGTAGGTCTCCTTCTGGATCTCCCGTGTCTTTATCTCCTGAGCTTTTTCTTCCTCACCCTTGACCAGTGATCTCTATCCAGCTCTGATGGTTTCTCGTGTTTACCTTGGACCATACTTTACCTCCATCCCATTCTTCTAGAAAAGAGTGAAATTAGGAGTAATTTGGACAGGAAGCTATGCCATGATTTTTTCCAAGGTCATATATGCTGTTGATTCTTGATCAGCACAGGTTTGGACTATGTGGGTCCACTTATATATGGATTTTTTTCCCAACCAGATCTGTATAGAAACTACAGTATTCATGAGATGCAAAACTGGTATATATGGAGGGCCAACTTTTCATATATGTGGGTTCTATAGAGCCAATTGCTGAGTATGCACAAATTTTGGTATATGTAGGTTGTTTTGGAACCAATCCCCCACATACACGAAAAGATGACTGTGGTTAAACTTCTGGTGGAGAATTGGAGGTGTGAGACATTCATTATTTGATTGTGTTGTTTTCATTGGGTTGGTAATATAGCATTGAAGCTGATAGTTTTTTTTAATTAAATTGCCTTTAATCCTATTCCCATATTGCAGTTATTTTATATTTGTATATTATCTTGTAGTGTTTGTTCCCAGATTTCCATAGTTGGGCATAGTTGCAATCATCATATATGTCTAAAAGAGTTAGGACAGTGAGTGAGTGCAGTGATTAAAAACATACCATTTGAAGTCATATCTTGGTTCATATCTGCCTTTTTCATTTCCCAGCTGTGTGACCTTGGCCAGTTATTTAACCTGTCTTTGCCCTAGTGTCTGCTTTATGAAATGAGAATAATGTTCCTTTTCTGGTAGGTGTTGGGAAGATTACATGAAATGTGACCAAAATGCCTCAAATGGTGCCTGGCACATTAGAACTCTTCAGCCATTGATAGCTTTGTTTTCATTTTTGTAGTCCATTTTTTTGGTCACTTTGCATCCTAAGTATTTTCTAGCCTTCTCATTTATTTTTATTTTTTTAAGAGAGAGAGAGAGAGAGAGAGAGAGAGAGAGAGAGAGAGAGTGTGTGTGTGTGTGTGTGTGTGTGTGTGTGTGTGTGTGTGTGTCTTTCCTGAGACAGAATCTCACTCTGTTGCCCAGGCTGAGTGCAGTGGTATGATCTCAGCTCACTATATCTGGCCTCCCAGGCTTAGGTGATCCTCCCATCTCAGTCTCCCAAGTAGCTAGGACTACAGGTGCCCACCACCATGCCTGGCTAAGTTTTGTATTTTTGTGGAGATGAGGTTTTTGCCATGTTGCCCAGGCTGGTCTTGAACTCCTGGGCTCAAGCCATCTTCCCACCTCAGCCTCCCAAAATGCTGAATTACAGGTCTCAGCCACTGTGCCTGGCCATTCCCATTAATTTTAATAACTGTATAATTTATTTGTTAATACAGCACAATTCATTAACATCTTTTTTGTTAGACACAATTTTAAGCTGTTTCTGTTTGCCATTATGGATAATATTGTGAAATATGAGCAGATAGTTTCTGCTAAGAGGTTTTCTAGGTGTTGGATGACTGGGTTGTGACTCCCTCTGCATATTATAACTACATAAAATACTATCAGTGATGAAGGGACTTCCCAGCATATGCCCCCAACATTTCCGGCTTTAATTTTTTGTTTGTCTAACTTATTGCTGTAATAACTATAAAATGGCAGCTCTTTAGACCACTGAGAGGATTGAAGATGGTTCTGCGTAAGTACAGGTTACAGAGGTTAAGTAACTCATCCACTACCATGCAACTAATAAATTCCAGGTTTGAATACAGGACTCTTTACTCTGTTTTATTCTCTGAATTGTCTGTTACAGACTATACTCATGTAATGTTTTCCTTGTGAGTTTGAATAAAGTCTGTACTTCAGATTTAAGTGTATTGTCACTGTGATGCAAGTATTTCTCAGGCACTTTATTTTACTTTTGTATAGTTTTTCATTATGTACTAGGAATTTGTACCTAAATTGGTCAGTCTTTATTTGTTCTTGTTTTCAAATGAGAGGTTCATTGTCTTTGCATCGATCTGGTGAAATAATCACATGTCAGCTGGTCTTTTATTAATTGTTTACTTCTTTAACATATGTAAAATTTATTCTTCTTTAGCCTAAAGTGGGGACCTGCCCTAGTTTTCCTATTCGTATCCACTTATCCTTCTATTGTTTGTCAAATAATTTCTTTCTATTCGTTTCAAGATACTCAATTCTATTTTTTTTTTTTCTTTTTTTGAGACAGAGTCTCGTACTGTCGCCCAGGATGGAGTGCAATGGCACAATCTTGGTTCACTGCCACCTCCTGGGTTCAAACAATTCTCCTGCCTCAGCCTCCTGAGTTGCTGGGATTATAGGCAAACACTACCACACCCGGCTAATTTTTGTATTTTTAGTGGAGATGAGATTTCACCACGTTAGGCTGGTCTCGAATTCCTGACCTCATGATCCACCCACCTCTGCCTCTCAAAGTGTTGGGATTCCAGGTGTGAGACACCATCCCTGGTGGTGATTCTATTTTATATCTTATAGCTAATTTAAACTGAGTATGGCCTCTTTCTTGTTTTGTTGGTTTATGGTTCTATTTTATGCAAGTTCTATGCTAAAGTCATGTTTTGTGTTTTTGTTATTTACTTGATTTGTTTTTGTTTTGTCAGTGCTCTCCAGTGAAATGCCTAGTTGGATTCACCTAGGAACATATCTGTGGTTGAACAAGTTGTGTGTATTGCTGCTTGTAGTGAGGGAAAACACATACCAATGGGAATCACAAGGCCTTCCAGTAAGAGGGTGTCAGAAAGGATTTAGAATAGGATTTGGACTTATGTAAGGTGGCTTGGAGGAGGGTTCAGGGAAGTGGGACTTTGCTTTGGGTTCGATACTGTAAGGAGGGGCGAGTCTATGAATGAGTATCTTAATAAACCTTTGAGACATGGGGAAAATGAATCAAGGTTAAAGCTATGTATGCATAATAGCCAGTATAGGGGATATTTAGTCATTATTGGGATTCAGACAGACAATGTTTGTGTTTTCGTTCATGTTCAGACATGTTCATAGTCATAGGGTGGCCTTGTCTGGTATTGGTGTTCTTTGAAATTGTTTGTGTTTTGCCACAGGCCTGCTTATGAGTGCAAGCCAGCACCCCAGCAGCATCAATGCCTTGCTAATAGTACCAGGCTAGCTTTCAGATGTCAGGGGCTGCTTTTCTCATCTCACATTATTTGTGTGGTTATCTGATGCTGTGTGGCAATATTGCCACAAATGTAATGATTTAAAATAACACACGTTTATTTAGTTATTTAATTATTATATTTTAAGTTCTGGGGTGCATGTTCGGAATGTGCAGGTTTGTTACATAGGTATACATGTGCCATGGTGGTTTGCGGCACCCATCAACCTGTTATCTACATTAGATATTTCTCCTACTGCTATCCTCCCCTAACCCCCCACCTCCAACAGGCCCTGGTGTGTGATATTCTCCCTGTGTCCATGTGTTCTCATTATTCAACTCCCATTTATGAATAAGAACATG